ATCTTGGATCAATTGAGGGCCCGAGTAATACTTTTTTTTTCTTCAAACCTGAAGCACCGGGCAGCCCTGATTTTCTTCAGATTCGAAGGGAAAAAGCATTTGAGACCATGGGGAGCTCTCAGGAAGCACCTGCCTGCAATTCCTTCAAGCAGCTGCAACTTGTTCCTGTCCCCTCTCCAATGATGCAGCACAATCCTGGGAAAGGATGCGTTTGGCTTAAGGAGTTGGGAGACGTTTAGCATATCCGCATCCTATCACTTCAAAACCTTTTGACCACCAGCCATTGCACAACCCTCATGCACACCAATGAAGCATTCACTGCCTTCACAAGCAACTTGATACTTCCGCAGCTCAAACTTTATGATACCGCAATTCCTAAAAACAGCAAATGAAATGGTGCGATCCACACAACATCAGGGGGCCCCAACCCAAGGTCCGTGGACCGGCACCAGCCCGTGGCGTGCCAGAAGCCAGGGCGCACAAACAAGCGAAGCCCCATCCAAGCGGGATGCAGACAGCACTGCATAGCCTGATTAGCGCAAGCAACTGATGTTCCGTTGGATCGGCCTCCCAACCGCCAGCTCTTTCAGGGCGCAGGGATTGCCATGGCTTAGGGCCGCCTCCACACGCCCCGTTTTCAGCTTCTGCGTCATGTTTTTGGCCTCTGTGGCCACGTTTTTGGCCCCTTTTCAGCCTCCGTGCGTTCCATTCCCTGTCCATTCTGATCCCCAAAATGGGGCGCATGTAGGCCAAAAATGGGATGCGTAGGTCGAAAATGGGGCACGCAGAGGCGGCAATAGGGAATCCCCTGCAGGCCTGACAATCAGCTGATTGTGCAAATCAGGCTTGTTTCCCATACCCAATTCCTGCAACCGTTCTTCATATGTTTTAGCCTCCAGGCCTGTAATCATTTTTGTTGCTCTTCTCTGCACTCTTTCCAGAGTCTCTTTTTCGCATTGGGGTGACTCATTGTTTTAGTGTCTCTTCCCAACGTACAAACGAGCTTCATGAAGGTGTCCAAAAGTAGGTACTCAATGCGGTGGTCCCAATGAACTGAGCAGAAAGGTCTCTGTGAGCCGAGACCAACCTGAGGCCAGGTAAACCCCCAGAACCATTCATGGGTCTTTCCACATTGGAAATTGAACTATCCAGCCCCATTCGAGGTTACGGCTGTTGTAGTATTTTAATGGTTTGTTTAAATTGCTTGTTTTTATTTTATTTTTATATCACCTCCCTTTTTATTGTAAGCCGCCCTGAGTCTCTCGGGAATAGGGCGGCATACAAACCTAATAAATGAAATGAAATGAAATGCAGAATGAAGAAAATAAGTTACAGATCCTGTAGCCGCCATTATGTGCGTTTTTCATGGCTGTTAAAAAAAATTTGTTTTTGCACTCTCTTACACCACAAAAACCTGATGTGGTGATATGTGGGCCCCCAGCTCAGTCCTGGACAAAGAGATTGGTACTCCTGCCTTCTGAAGAAGCATAAATCAGCGGAAAAGGAGAGAGAGAGAACTTGCAAAGGCTTATCAGCAGAAGCAACTTTACAACAGAAGTGGTAAATGAGAATAATTATGATTAACATCTCCTCTCAGTGGCAAATTCTGAAACTGCAGTTACATATCCCACAACCCACGCACCATCCATCAAAAACCCGTACCTTTAGCTGCTATACCTTTGAATGAGTATGGTATTTTTAAGGAGCCTGTCAGAATGTTCCAACGTTAATATTTTGGAAATTAAAACCAACGAAGGTCTGCAAAGTGATTGCAGAACTGTCTTTTAGGCAGGTCACTTAGAAAGTAGAACGGAGAGGCGCAGGGCGCATAATGGTGATTGGAGCACCAAGCGCAACAGTACACCGAGTGCGCCTAGGAGTTTTTGTAAAGCTGTATATATGTCCAAAGTCATTCCAATTATTCCTTTTTTATTTCTATGGCTACATTTTATTTGCAGTGATTGTTGAAGGAAGTTAATTACTGGCGGAGGGGGGAAAAAAACCCAACAATTTCACTGGAACTAAAATAATTGTGCTTTATGGGACTTCAGACCAACATTCAATACAGTGGTGTTTTTTTAAAAGTTACCTTGGAGATGCATGGTTAAAGAGCAACATAGCTAACCAATCTATCAAACAATGGATTATAATAATAAATTTTAAAAATAACTGAGAGGAAGAGTGGTCTAATCTATCGAGCCAGGGAGCAATAAGAACAATTTAAACATACTGCATTTTGGCCCCCAGCAGTGATTAGCATCCAACTATTGTCCTATGGGGTTCCCTTTCAGCCTACACAAGTTTGAGAAGATAAGCTCAAAATCTGTTTCTCGCTGAATCTGCAGGATTAATTGTGCATGGGGGGGAACAAGATTTTTAAACAGCATCCAGAAGGATAGTGTAAATCCACGCAAATTACTACCTCAATTCACTAAAGACAGTGTTGGTGTAACTGATCATTTTGCAAAGGTTAGTCCAAAAAAAAAAAAACTTGCAAAAATCAAGAAAGATGTAGTTAGTTCACCTCAATTTTTTATGGCCGTCTCTCTGGGACCTTGAAAGGCAAGTTTTGTTTTTTTTCTGCATCCATTCTCTCTTAAATAATGCCATCCCATCTCTATTTCCCTACTGGGGCTACGCAACTCACAGACTTTGAAAATATTGCTACTGATTTCAAACCAGCTCCCCTTAAATTGTGCAGCTCAATCCTAGACACAAGTCTTGAGAATTACCCCCCCATTAAGGGAGAACAGGACGGTAAAGATATAGGCTATGCATTGTAAAAGAGTTTTCAGCAGAGCAGTAAAGCTACGCACTTTATGTTTGGGTGAAAATGGCACAAAATTCAGCTGTAGCTAAACTCCGGTCCTTTGCACATTAATCTCCAATGAAATAAAGGGAACGCGAAGCTTAGTAGACAAGCGTAGATTGAAGGGACAGGATGGAGCTACGCAGTCCCTACACATTTTCCGTGGAAGCTGCGGGTGGGTGTTCCTCCACGTTTTCAGATCCCTGGGAAAAAGCAGCCGGCCGGTTCGATTCAAGGAGGCGCCGATTTGACGACTCCAAACCCGACGCTTATCCAACCTCCCTCGAAGTCGCTGGAAGGGAACTTTCAAAGGAGCGCAACGGCGGCGGAGCGGGGGGAGAAGGCAAACTTCTACCTCCGGCCTCGCAATCGCAGCCTTAAGGGGGTTTTGGGGAGCGGAACGGTAAAAGAAACGCGCACCTCGAGCGGGGATCTGGGAACTTCGCTCCTAGTTAAGACCTAGCTTAGAAATGCAGCATTTGTGAATGGAGGGGAGGGGGAGGGAGGGGGAGAGAGGAAAGAGAGAGACGGGGGGTGTGAGAGAGAGAAAGGGAGAGGGAAAGAGAGGGAGAAGGAGAGAGAGAGGAGGGGAAGAAAAGAGAGAGGGAGAGGGAGAAAAAGAAAGGGAGAGAAAAAATGGGAGAGAAAGAGAGAGGTAGAGAGAAAGAAATGGGGAGAAAAAGAATGAGAGAGGGAAAGAGAAAGGGGGGAGAGAGAAAGAGGGAGAAAGAAAGAAAGAGAAAGCAATGGGAGAGAAAGAGGGAGCGGTAAAGAGAGGGAGAGAGAGAGAGAGAAAGGGGGAGAGAGAGAAAGAAAGGGAGAAAGGGCCAGAGAGAAAGAGGGAAAGAGAGTGAGAAAGAGAGTGAGAGAGAAAGAAATGGGGAGAAAAAGAATGAGAGAGGGAAAGAGAAAGGGGGGAGAGAGAAAGGGGAGAAAGAAAGAAAGAGAAAGCAATGGGAGAGAAAGAGGGAGCGGTAAAGAGAGGGAGAGAGAGAGAGAGAAAGGGGGAGAGAGAGAAAGAAAGGGAGAAAGGGCCAGAGAGAAAGAGGGAAAGAGAGTGAGAAAGAGAGTGAGAGAGAAAGAAATGGGGAGAAAGAGGGAGAGAGGTAAAGCGAGAGAAAGAGGGAGGGAGAAAGGAGAAAGAAAGGGGCAGAGAGAAAGAGGGAGAGGTAAAGAGAGAGTGAGAAAGAGAAAGAAAGGGGGAGAGAAAGGGGGAGAAAGGGAGAGATAAAAAGGGAGAAAGAAAGGGGGAGAGAAAAAGAGAAAGAAAGGGGGCAGAAAAAGGAGAGATAGAAAGGGAGAAAGAAAGGGGGAGAGAGAAAGAGGGAGAGGGAGAGCGAGAGCGAAAGAAAGGGGGGGAGAGAAAGAGGTAGAATCAATCAGCCACGCAACAGCGAATCCACGCAATACCAGCGAACAACTGACCGATTTCCAGCTAAACTCGCGCGGGGGAAATTCGCCGCTTTCCCAGCTGACCTGCCGCCGGTTCTCTTGCCTTCCCCTCGACCTCCGCCACCCCGCTTCCCCGCTTCACCTGAGGCCGGCGGGTGGGGGGGGGAGAGGCGAGGGGGGAGAGACTGCATTCCCACGGCCTCTCAGGCTCGCTGTGCCCGGGGCCGTTCCGTCCATCCTCGGAGTGGGGGGGGGGGGGGAGAGAGAAGCGACCAAACCCCGGCGGTTTCCAGGTAAGCGCCGCGAGCGAGTTCCCCGCCCGCCCGTCGCCGCCGCCACAGCCGCTCGGTTGCTCACCTGTTGATGCGCTCAGGAGCGCCAGCCAAGCCAGTCCGAGCGCCCAGCGGCCTCCCATCGCGGGGCTGTCCGAGCGGGGGAAAAAGTCCCTCCGGGGTGACCTTCTCGGGCGAAGCCTCTCGCCTCACCTAAGAGGAGCCAGGCGCAACACACGCGACTCAGCCCCGCGCGCTGAGGAGTTTCCCCCTCCCGCCCCCTCCTCCTCCTCCGGCCACGCCTCTGCCCCTCCCTCTCCGGAAAGCCCACTGGCTNACACCCTAAGGGGTGTTAGGGGTGTCTTACCCCCCCCCCCCCACACACACACCATTTGTTTCCAGAGGGTAAGTCATCTGTGTACCAAGTTTGGTATATACAGTATATAACAAAGATATATGATATAAAGATTACATTGTTTGTCATGTGTACAGATGGTCCTCAACGTACGACCACAATGGAACCTAACATTTCTGTTCCTAAGTGACGTCTGCAACAATATTCAAAATCTCACAACAGCAGGAAGAGGAAGCTAGGCCCAAGCCCCACTAGAAGTCCCTAATGAAATACCCACTGGGGGAATCGAGTCGCTTTATAAATGGATCTTAGCTCATGTCCAATAATTTGTTTGTCCAGCACAGACAGAACACGTCGATTAATTATTTCTTTCCAAAGCTGAATTTTCTCACGGTGGGTCTACAAATGGAATCGCAGAGACATTAACCCGGTCTCAGATGCATTCGTTTACCATCTCGGCAGGTCTTAAATGTACACAGGTATTAAAAGGATGTCAGGTAAATATTCTGGATGGTGGGAAATCCAATGAAAGTAAATTACAGAAAGACTCAGAGGGAGGATCAGATTCTTAAAGAAATTTAATCAACCCAGTCAATAAAGAGCTTTTCAAATCAACAACCGAGTATGACAGCGTAATATTGATTGAATTTGGGAGGTCAGAATTTTAATTCCAGCACAGACATGAAATTCAAGAAGGCCCGTAATGTATCAGGTCCAAATGGAAAAATTCCCACTGCCAGAAAAAGATACTAACAGATCACAAGTAATGCCATTTCAGTGAGTTAACCAAAGTAAGACCTGCTTAGTACTTGGACAAGAATCAGTCAAGAAATGCAGTGTGTTATTATTTAATGCTTGAAATGCAACATTAAGAAAACTAAGACCATGGCATCCAGCCCTCTCAATTCCTGGCAAATAGATGGGGAAGAAATGGAGG